TAACTTGTCAGACTTCAACTCATAGACCTTGTGGGTAGACTGGGAAGCAAATTTGAAGGGGCAGGACGTGGCTGGCATGAGGGTGGAAACTGAACAATACAATTCTGAACTGAAAGTGAGAGAAAAAAAAAAAAACTTTGTAATCTATTGTTATTAAAAAAATAAATGCACATTTTTCCCCAGGGAAATGTGCATTTATTTTTTTTACACCTGTAAAGCACTGTACCCACACTCAGCAGATCAGAGAAGCAGGAGCAGAAACATGTTACATATCCCACCCTGAATATGGACAGAACATATTACATTCCAAAAGGTGAACTTAGCCTTTAAGCTTCTACCAAGGAAGACCTATTCTATTGCTGCTGCTAGTAGCATCCTTTTAAATGGACTATGTGGATCAGAAGCTTACTAAATGCAGATTTTGTCTCCAGCACTTTAATAAATGTGTCCTCCATATGTGTATAAAAAGGACACTCATCCAAGGGTTGAGATGGAAAACATCCAGAAATGATGTAACAATAGTGGCATAAAGCTACAACCATTCCCCCACCCCCAACATTCTGAGGTAGGAATCAACCACAGCAGTGGCAAGATAGCTTATAAAATGGACTTTGATTAGTCAGGCAGTTGGCAAAACAAGGCCAGAGGTAAAGAGCAGGGCCTATGAGCAAGCACAGAACTTTACAGCAGGCCTTTTATCAGTTGGATTCTTGAAGAGGAACTTTACTTTGGAAAAGAAAATTAAAAGGCAACAGCTACAAATCCTGGAGCTGCTGTTTTTAAAAAAAAAACCATACACTTACCAATCCAGGGATCCAGCACTTTCCTCACCTAAGCCAGTACATCTCTGGTCTTTGGCTCCATCATCTTGGATGTGGGCAGCCAGCTGCGACTTCCTGCTGCTTCACAGCTGCACATGTACAAGTAGTGCAGCGCTCTCTTAATAGACAGACTGCTGGTCGCTTTGTTAAGGCAGAATACTGCTAGATCCATGGAGGGGGCATGCTACTTTTTTCCCTACATATTTTTCAATGGGTACAAGGGTATTGAGCATTCAATAAAAAGGGTAAAAAAAACACCTTATTAGGGCATTTACAATCTCCATTATGGACAAATTTGAACAGCAGGTGCAGTGGAAAAATCTCTTAAGGTCTTGGGGCTTTAAATACTGATTCGGGAGCAAATCAGAATCACATTCTAAGAGACTGATAGCGCGGGGGCTGCCAATGCACCAAGCAGATCAGAAACAAGATAAACATGCATAGTCTATGGCTAGAGTCAGCAAATAACGGAGTTCTGCATGAATGTAGTAAAAAAAAAAAAACAAAAAAAAAAACAAAACACTTCACTGGAGAGGTTAGAAGAACCAGCCAGACCTAAGGAAGATGGAATAAACACCAAGGCAGCAAAAGTCCAGGTTGCAACCGCCCCAGTAGGCATGCTGCTCTAAAGACAGTAGTAGACGATGACTATGTATAGCAGAACTGCCCCATTGCCGTTTCTACAAACAGATGTGTTATGACTATAATGCATCATAAGACTAAGGGTACAAGGCAAAGACTCAGGTACTTCTGAAACCCAGAGAGCTGTAGTAGATGACAGTCAGATGGCCAGAGGGGATCAAAGACATTGTAAGCAGGTACATACCAAAGTTCCACATAGTTCTTTGCAAGGCAGGAGCAGCCATGGGGAGATGCTTTAATTTTGTATGGCAGAAAATAGATCACACACACGAAACACCTACCCAGCAGACAAGGGGGCTGCATCAATTTTAGCAGCAGTGTAGAGAAATATCTTAAAGAAAAACATTTTTTTAAGCACAAAAAAACGTGCTAGCAAAGATAGGATTTTAAACTTATTGTGTATGGTGCAGGAAATACATCATCACCCCAGCTTTAACAGTATGGAAATTAGATTCAGAGAAGGCCCTCTCTTTCCTAGTGTAAAGTGTGGAAATGACTGATTCAGAGATCCAGATTTCTCAAGAGCTAGCTTTCAACAGCCACACCATGAGGCAGGGCGATAAACTGGTCCTTGAGATCCAGTCAGTCATAAAGCACGCACAGGGTGTCTGCCAGCATCTTGATCAGGTCAGGGTACTACATCTGCCTGGGTCAGTCTGGATCTAGGAGTCTTACCAGAATGACCTACCTTTCGGTCCTGCAGAGTAGACAAAGAAGGAGTTTCTGGCTTCTGTAATCCTTTCTGGAAAAAAGTACACCGCAAATGAGAACCACAAATATCAATCTTTTACCTGTTTTTGCTCAAAGACCTGAAATTACAGCATCAGCATGACAGCAAAGCAACTACCATTTTCAGAGCAAAAAGGCTAGCAAAATCATCTTCTAGATTTCTCTGAAAGATTGTCTTTAAAAACACAAAATACAAATTTTACAATTGCTTTAAAGAGGAACTCCACTTTTGTTGAAAAAGAAAAAAGCCCCAGAACCACCTTTTGCCATTTTGTTTTGGCACGTGGAAACCTGCAAAACCTGTAGGTAGCAGAGGATGAACTTTGAGTGCCCACTGAAGCATGCATTCATTTTCCTTTCACTGGAGGTCACAGATTCATGCAAGTCAAAAGTAATGGCTCAGCCAAATACTGTATATCATGCTGCTCTGTACCAAATAAAAGGTTACCGTTAGTCTTACAAGTGAAGGTCTGATAGTAAAACAAAAAATAGGAGGGTCAATGAAGTTCACTTAATACTTAATTATGCTAAATACAAAACACAATAGAACTCAATACAGATATTGAGGACCATGGCAGTGCTGAGCTACAAGAAAGCTTAAAGAAGCATTGAAACTCGTTTGGACGAAATCCAGGTTAACCAGGTGTAAGGGTTTTGTAGATCGAAGTGCACTTACACAGATGTATATATTTTATCTTCATGTCACTTAATAGATGGTATACCTCATTAATATAGAACATATAAAATACATGTAAATATCTTCTCAAGCTGCATAGGATTCTGGAAACAGATCAATGAGGTAGAGGAAGAACAAACTTTCATATTTAATAAAATCAAGAAGAGAGAGAAAAGGGAGTCTCCCATACGGCAAACAGATTATGCAAACCTAATAAGATGTAAGTTGTTTAGCTGTGTCTGTTTTTAATCATGTATTGCCATTCCCTTCTAGTAGAAGCAGCACTAGAAAATTATTTTTTGGCTAGTATAGATCTTAGACAAATACGCCATCTAGAGGGTGATAGCCACAATAGCCTAACAGAAAGGCATCTTAAACAGTATTCCTAATCAGGGGTAATGGATTTACCTGTACAGCCAAAAAAAAAAAAAATTTGCTTCACAGAACATCCTCAAGATGTAGGAAACTATAGCTCTGGTTTTACAATGCACCTAATCAAAATTATATAAATGTGTATATTGCACAGTGCAATATATACATTACAGCTGCACAGCAACACTTGTCAACGACATAGAAGCTGAGCATTATTTCATGTGGGAACTCTCTGGGGTTGATTTGCTAAGACTGGAGCGTGCAAAACCTGGTGCAGCTGTACATGGTAGCCAATCAGCTTCTAACTTCAGCTTGTCCAATGAAGATTTAACAAAAAACAGAACAAAAAAAAAAAACAAAAAAAAAACAAAAAAAACAAAAACAAAAAAAAAACACCATGGAAGCCAATTGGTTTCTAAGCTGAGCGGCATTAGATTTCGCACCCTCTGATTTTCGTAAAATCAACCCCTTTTTGTTGAGCAGGGCTGAGGTTTTGGTTACTATGGGGTGATGGATACAATTAAAGGAAATCTGACAGGTATGACAGGAGTATAGGCAGTACCACTGCTTACCCACTTTATGAATTTCCTCAAGTATGTAGAACAGATTTTTTATCATGTCAAATTTGATAGCAGCAAACAAGTGACTCAAAACATTGAAATGAGAAATTCAAACTATCTTAAGAAGGAGGTCAGCATGTGCAGGCTTCCTATATCTTACATGTTGAGTAACTGTCAGTGAATCTTGAGACACACACACTTTTCTTGCAATTTCAAGCTGTGAACATGATCAATGCAACGGTCATAAAAATTCCACATAGATCACCTGCATCAATTTGGTGTGCAAGTCGTGGGAGACTATGACCTTGTGACAGACGTATATATTTGACAAACTGACCTCTGCTCAGTGGAAAGCAATTAAAAACTTCTATGCAGAACAAATTGCCGTTATATGACCTATAAGATGTACATGACAATATAAAAAAACTGAAAAGCCCTGAAATAGACACAAGAAACACAGCCTGCTTTAAGAGAGCCTGTCAAGTTGATAAATTGCAGGTAAATGCAGAGCAAATCAAATATTTTAAAATGCTTACTTGCAGCTTTTTCCCTTCCTATAAAATATATATATATTTTTTTTATTGATTTGAGATGTACCTTCAAATTGCAAGGGAGTCGACATTCCAAAAATGTCAATTCTCCAGCACATTCATAATCCTCTCATCACTGTGTATGCTGACCCAGCTACTTTCCACCCACCTCACCTTCCTAACAGTCTGTTGTGTAGCAGTAGAGGGAGGAGCAAAAGGGGAATAGGTTAGCTTCTCTCAACATTCTCACCTAGAAGGAAGCCTTGCAAGAATGTACAGTGTACCCAGTAAAATTGTAGATATAATAAAGAATATAGAGTACATATAATTGACACACACTTTTCATACCTAAAGTATGTGCTATTTCACAAACCTTTTAAAACTGCTTGAAACTTCCTAAGGATAATTTTGCTTATTAAAAATTTTTTAGGCAAAAATATGTTGGCTTCCTTTTGACACAACAGTATTAAAAGCTTGACAGCACTGCAGCAGAGTATTTGAAGATCTCTGTATTTGACGTGAAGAATGGCACATTTGGGTTTTTAATAAATGGATTTAAACTGAAAAGAGCATGGTAAAAAACACTTTATTGACATATAAATGGGTACAGAAAAAAAAATTAAAAGTCATAAACTGACAAATATGTACAGCTAATATTCTAACAGCAAATTCAGTTTTGGCCAGTTGATCCAAAGCCACCAGCACCTCGCTCTGTCACATCCAAGGTCTGAAATGCAAAACAAAAAACGGAGGATAAGGATTTCAAAACCAAAAAATGTAAAGCAAAGAATGCAGTAGGAAATGCTACAACAATGTCTGGGAGTTTTTTGTGTTCAGCTATTCACCCTCAGCTTCGCTCCACCTACAATCCTGCAGAGAACGTACAAAGGAAATGGTAGTCACATAACCACTGAAAAGTAAGCCAAAAAGGCCAGCTATTTCTCATGGCAACAGCCACTATATGTAAAGTGCATGTTTCTACTCCACCCTGTGAGGATTCACATCGGCTTTGAGTAATAGCTCACCACTTTAAATATCTGGACCTGTGTGACAAGAAACCCAACTGGCAGTATGGTGACTGCCAGTATCTCCAGACAAGGTGTACCAGTACTTCTGAGAAGGAAATCTTGTGAAATCTACATGGATAGATGCATGCTGCAAATTTTAATTCAGAGATGACATACACTTTAATATAAAATATCTGGCTACACCTATTCGCCTCCACTGTCTTGCAGGCATGTAGAAGTGCAAAATTAAGGCTTACAACACTAACAAACATTTTGTGTTCAAAACTAACATGGGAGTGGTATCAATTTCATACTGGTATTTGTCTTCTGCCCAATCCATAGCCATTTGTCAAAGCTCTATAGTTGCTGCCATGGTCCCTCCAGAGAAGCAACTCTGAACCAACAGAACCTATCCAAAAGCAGTGAAGTTATAAAAAGGAACATTGCAAAGCACAGAAACAATTCGTCTGGCTGAAAGGGTTCATGTGAAACACACAGGTACATGAGTAGGCCTTCTAGTTTTAGAATTCTTATGGTTTCATAATATTTGAGAAATTGTTTTGTAAACAATTAAAAGAGGATATCTACTGGTCTATATACCTGTTATTTCACACAAAACACAAGGCCACATCTCATGAAGAGTGAAATAAATCAAACTCACCTTAACCTCCTCCAGATCAGGATATAGGATTCGTTCACAGATCAACTGAGCTACTCGATCGCCTTTATTAACTAAAAGGAAAAAAAACAGTTTATGCTTTGTGTGTAGTGTTCTTTTTTTTAAAAGCTAAAAAGATCATAAAGAAGTGAAGTTGAAATGGTTAGCATTTATTTGCTCAGATATACATTAGTTACATACTGGCAAGGAATTATATTGACTCACTTAACTGTCTTTTCTACACAGCTATAAAAAGACATTTCTAAAATACCTGGATTTTGTGTCAGCAGTGTCCATTCAATTTTAATAGCAAAATGACTTTTATACATTCATTTGGCCAATTTAAAGCCTAACTGCACGTTTAATGTTCCTTTAAATATTTTGTTTACTGTACCAACAAGTGCTTACTGGGCGCTGTATTAGCTGTACGTATGTTACCTCATTTACATACAGTATACAGCGCTGTGCACCATCAGTGGGACGGGAACATCCCATTGCACTCATGGGAAAAAAACAAAAAAAAACCCCCACACGCACTGAGCATTGCTCAGCCATTCACAGGAAGCTTCATATGTGTCCCCGGCGTCTTCAGTGTGGGCACCCAGCTGTGGCAGTTTGTGGCGTCATAGCCAGGCGCCCACTGCGAATGCGTGAGTAGCACTGCGCTTTATGAATGGCTCTGTAGTCTTCTGAGATCTGTCGTGCGGGTGTGGGGGTTGAGGACAACTTTCTCTTCCAATCACTTAGGCAATTGCAGTAGAAGTGGGAGGTTACACCTGTCAATTTCGGGTACCCACTCGCCAAAAGGTGCCAATCCTTAATGTAGAGCGAGGGACCAGTCTTTAAAGATGAACTTCCCCTTTTGGGTGGCGCTCCACTTTAAGGTCTACAAGAAAGCATAGGCCTTGTGCAGGTTAAACTGAAACACGCGGCAAAGTGATATGCTCTCTCCCACTATTTGAAGGGATTAATAAGTTATCAGCCCAAAAATCTCAACTTAACTGAGCTGTCTGCCTAAGTAACTCACAGACATTGTAACCATAACCCAAAACTTTACATTTTGACAAGACTGATAGGAAGCAATCTTCTATACTTGAGGCAGAAACAACTGAGTACTGTCCGTGATTCTTTTTTTATTTGCAATAACACAATTTTGAGGACAAGCTTTCGGGGTATGTCCCCTTCAAGGTCCGAGCAGTACTATACTTGAAGAAGGGGACATACCCCGAAAGCTTATCCTCAAAATTGTATGTTAGTGCAAATAAAAAAAAAAAGTATCACGGACAGTACTCAATTGTTTCTGTCGCAAGTGCACGAATACGGCTACAATCACCTCTATACATAAGGGTAATTATCAGTGTGACCCAGGCTTTGTGCCATTTGCAGCATTCTACGTAGTATCTATGGAAATTTGTGGGGAAAAAAAAAAAAAAATAATTTACAGAATGCTCCTTATAACAGCATGTGAACAAAGATATCCTCTGAAACATCACTTATTACCCAATTGTTAAAAGCCAACTTTGCCATTATTATAGTCTGCTCTAAGCATATCTAAATCCAAGACCAAAATCTGGATGTTTTGAAGCTTACCATTCCTTAGATGTAATGGCTGAATGATATCTTCCCCCGGTGATCCTGCCATGAACACACTACCTGTCCTACCTGGGGCAAGAACTGTGTGGCATCTAGAAGCAATTATGTCGCCCTAGGAAGGAATTGTGATGACTAAACACCTCCTCCTCTGATTCGCAACACTGGGAGGAGGTGTTTTATAGTCAGATATCAGTTAGCATTGTTCCCAGCTAACTGTCCATAGAGTAGCAGAGCACGGGAATCACACACTTCTTTTTCTGCACTTGTCGAACAGATATATCAAACGCTTTCAATGGTAGATTGAAAAGATTTACATAAAAGGAGGCAAAAAAAGGGGGAATTACAGTGAGAGGTGCAATTTACATACAAATTAACTGTCCGGTTGCCACAATGTCTTTGCATGAACTGGGTGATATTCAGAAGTCAGGTAGCCAAAAATATTTTAAATGGAAGTCTTTAGTTCATAAGTATTGTATTAGTATTCAATAATAACTACACAGGTTCTTGAACTCCAAATACGACTACATACCTTTAAAGGGTTCGTTGCCAAAATTAAACAACACAACACCAACATTTCCTCTATAGTCTTCATCAATAACTCCAGCTACATTTAAAGAGAAGCATAAGAGAGTTAAAAATGTGGCATGCACTATGATGAATAATGACAGAAAATGTATCACTAAGAAACACACCCAGAGTAAAATATAATCTCCTTGGAGGAAAAAAGTGCTCCTCACAACAGGAGGCCCAGACATTTATGCTGAATTGCCTTTGCGATGCAGAATGACATTTTGCATTGTGTAATATGGGTGGAAAGCCCGTTGCAGCCATCAGTGGAAAAAAAGTCACATTGGTGCTGGCAGGTTAATTTGATGGCCCTTAAAAGCAAGCTCCTTCTGTGTCAGTCTCTTGGCTCTAAAAGCTGCCTACGCCTTCCAGCTGTGGAAGAGAGCACAATGTTGTATTGTGCTTATTTCTATAGAGTTAGATTCAAAATCTTTGGAAAACAAAATATTTCTAGACTAGCAGGAGAAAAAAAAAAAAACCCACAGTATACTGCACACACATAATACAAAACAAAAAGGCAAAGAATTTGTTTGCATTTTATTTCATGTGCTCCGTTGTTCACTGCAGCTTTGATATTAGAAAAGTATATGCAAAGGAGGGTAACAATTCTTAGCCACCAATTACTTGTTAAACTTTTCAAAAGGTTCAGCTATTGCATTGGTAAAATAATAAATGTACTACAGTATGCATAATCCTATGGACCGCTCAGCTTAACAGAAGTGCCCAGTGTTGTCCCACCTTCTCCAAAAGGATACCGAAAAGGGGAAGAATGGCACATTGCCTCATTTCATGGCATCACAGGTCTTTTAGAAATGAAGATACTGGACATGACAAAATTACAAACTGGCATCCAAGTTGGAAGATTTTTTTTTTTTCTGTATGCATTAGTGTTGTTCGTGCACACAAGCAATGTGTAAACCACTTATTTAAAGCTCAACTCCAGGCAAACAGGTAGAAGACCTAAAGAAAGAGGACGAAGATAAGATACAAGGGATAGAAAAGTGTGTGTGGGGGGGGGGGGGGGGGGGGGGAACCCCCTCCACACCTCTTATGAATGTTACTGCTGACTCTCCTCTAATATGCCATGACCTTATTAATTGCTATAGGTGAGCTGTATTGCCAGCTACCCTACAGAAAACAGCTCTCATAATGAATAGGACTGAGGCCAATCAAGGAGAGCAAGCAGGGATGATCTTGATAATAAAGACTGTGTGGTGCAACACAGAGAACCTGGTGAAGATTGCTAGCGCAGGGAAGAAGCGAATATTTAACATGGCAGGCTGCATTTGGGCAGTGGTGGGTTAACAGAACACGTTCACAATTTTATTTGTGGGCACACTGAAATAAAAAGTTGCATGTATACTATATTGTTTTCTATGCACTCCGGGTCGTATTACACATATTTAGCATGAATTAGTATGAGTGGGCAGTACAATGGTGACAAATCCTCAGTGTTAATTTAGCTGGAGCCCCTGAAATCATAACAGCCAAAATTGTTGGTACCGACTGAAAGTAAAAGGAATACTGAAAAAAGTTTTTTTTTTGTTAAAGAAAAAAAAAAAAAAAAAAAAAACCAAACAAAAAAAACTCCCTATGCATGTATACCCTTTAGTCTACAATGCAATCCATGTATCAACCCTAAACCTGCCTTGAATCTCGTTCTCAGGAAGTCAAATCTATGTACATTGATCTATGTACATTGATCTATGTACATTGCAGGTATTTTAACAAACTTGCACATTCCTAAAAAATTTTTGTTGGAGAAGCCAAAAATCTGACTTGCATCTTCGTGCATACTTTCGGAAAAATCAGTACCATATTTTTCACTCGATAAGATGCACCCCCCCCACAAAAAAAAAAAAAAAAAAAAAAAAAAATGGGGGGGGGGGGGAGAAATGTCTGTCTTATGGAACAAATATGGAGTGGCCAGCTCAGAATTCCCACAGCCGGGAATACCGGGCCGGCCACTCGGCTTTACTGTGCAGAACGCGCTCCTCGATACTACCTGTTCCTCGGTCCAGCAGTGTCCTACTTTCACCGGCTGTCTTCTCTCCATGGCGCCTGCATCTGCAGTGTGGGCACCCGGCTGTGACAGCTTGCGACTTCACAGCGGGGTGCCCACTGTGCATGCACGAGAAGCGCTGCGCTTTGTGGATGGCCCCGTAGTCTTCTGGGGCCTGTCACGTGTCCCACAAGACTACAGACGGGGAGGGTTTGTGTGGAAGGGGGACGACAACTTGGCGGAAGTGGGTACATGTCAAATTCAGGTACTGTGTCCGCAGTCCATTGGTTCAGAATATATTTTTTTCTGGGGAGGGTAGGATCTGTTACTATTATAAAATTTAGCAAACAGGTAATTTTTCTCCTTCAATGATGTGTTCATGAGGCTGCACTGAGAGGCAGCACTTGTGGGAATTGATGAGGAGGCACTGATGCTAATGCACCGACAGGCAGCAATGATTGGCAGCACTGACGGGCACTTTTGGGGCTGCCCTGATCATCAGTGCAGAGGTCTGCTTTGACAGTTGCCGGTTTCTGGAAGTACTTTTCTTATGCTGTGACAGCGTGAGGAAAGTACTGCCGATAACTGGCAAGTGTATTTACATGGTGGTTAAAAGGACACAGCAATCAGACAGCGCCCTCCCAGAACTGGACGACCGCGCTGTAGCTGTCATTCAGCTATAGGGCAGTAGTAAAGTGGTTAAATAACATTACAATTACAATAGGAGTTGTGTCGCAATTGTATGTTTTATTTACCATTTTTTTTCTTCCCCATGAAAGTGGAGTTACCTTTTAACTTCTTTCCAAATTGACATTCGAGTGGAACTAAACTCTTTAACTTAATCATTTCCAAAAACAGTTCCGTTCAAGGCAGGATAGCTGTAACAGTTGTTTGTGCTCTCAACCTGCCATCAATTGGCTGGTGTTATAGTTGCTGGTATGTGCAGCACCATCGTAGCTGCACATCAGAGGCCAAGAAGACAGCTTCATTGTCTGTAAAAGGATGGGAGGGTTTAGTGGTCTTAAGCCTTATAAAAAGGACCTCAACATCCACCGTGTATTGCTTGTGACTGCTGACACAACCTTCGTTTGTTGGGAACATTAGGGCAGTAATTTTTAGAAAGTTTATTAGAGGTTACATTTTAATTTATAATACAGGTGAAATGAAAAGACAACTCAGCTTTATGCTTACATCCACAGTGCCCTCCTTCCTTTGCCAGGAAACAGGTATACAGATTTGAATACCTGATCCTGTGATTTCCACCAGTGCTACTCAGAATGTCAGAGCTGCCTAGGACTGAACCAGGATGGAAAAGCACTCCAGTTTCCTCTGTGCTCAGCTGGGACTGAAGGGCACTCAATTTTCTGTTATCAGGTTCTAGTCTGTATATGTGCTGCCGGCTTCTTTCAAAGATAGAAAATTAAATTAGCTGTGTATCGAGATCTACATGTCCCAGTGTGCACGGAAGGATGAGACTTGTAGTTTGCCACTGGTTGAAATCACATTGGTTCATGATTTTTATTGCTATGTACATAGACATTGAAGGAGGCCATAGACATTATAGGACATTCAATTTACCAGATCACACATGTAACTGATCCACCCTCTGCACTGAGACTACTTGTTCCTTCCTGATGATTGATGATGTACACCACTGCCATGGCGTTGTCAGACCAGATTCAAATCTAATGGAACTCAACAGTTTGGTCCCACACTGAAAAGGAAAAACCATATCGGCCAAAGCTCCAAAATGTTGATGGAGAGACAGTATTTCAACAACCAAGTCCCCTGCAACGATAAAGCACCAAGGGCTGATAGCCCTACAGAAAAAAAAAAAAAAAAAAAAAAAAACCCCCACACAAACACCTCGTAAAAAATGTTGGTTAGCTGGAATGATAGGCACACGTAGGATTCCAACTTGTGTGGGGCCAAATGTAAACATTCAGCTGTGGATTGAAAGCCACAACAAAACGCTTCCTGCAAACAAGTTCCGAAGTCCAGCATTTTGCCAAAGTGCTGTATGTATATGCACCGACAAGCAGTTCATGAATTAAGCAAGCCAGGGGGCTTCCCAGCTGAAGTTTATCACAGACACCCGCTACATGTGCTCAGTGACCTGTAGGGTCAATGAATGGCAGAAACATCCCTTATAAAGAATTAGGACCAATCAGATATGGTTTGGCAAAGCAAAATTACAGCCAAAATCAGATGTATGGTACCTGTCAAACAGAACGTAGTTCTAGAAAAGGGGTCTTCAGCCATTTTCATCAGTCAGGTCCCTAAACTCAGGAGCATTATGTATGGGTATTGGTAGTTGCAAGACACAGCTGGTTCCACAGCTGAACAAATTCCTCACTAACTGGGTACAGAGACAGCACATGCTTAGGGGAGTAAAGCAACCATGTTTCCAATCTTCATACAGGAAGAACTTGAATTATGGGTGAAAAAGAAAAGCCTTTGCAGCCTTAACAGTCCTATAAGAACCAAGCCCAGAAAGTCAGGCGGAAGGCTGATCTTCAAATTGGTATATGCTGTAGAGACAAACCGTTTTCTTCACCTTGGGGAGTAATAGCAGTGGATGGTGACTACTCATTGGTCAAAGGCTTGAGTGACTCAGAAACCAAAGTCTTTGGATCAAATCAAATATAGAATCTGCTGGACAGGGAGCGGTAGCACACTTGTGGCTTCTGGAATGGAGTCTGAAATCAAAAATGGGCACAGGAATCAGCCCCATTCGATTGAGCCAAAGAGGACTGATAAGTGATCAGACACAAAAGCAGAACTCTGAGTAAAAACACCTTTACACATCCTTGTTGCTGATTTCCTACTGTCACTGAATATGTCATCCATCCTCTCGTTCACTCAGTAGTTGCTCTGAAATAGCCTATTCGTTTTCAAATCAAAACAACTAATGCTCTTTGGTTTTTCGTTTGTAAGACCAGTGGCTGCTATGCCTCCTATTCTCCCAGCCACTGGTCTTGGCACATCCCTTCTGTAGATCTTTCTCCAGGAAGCAGCAATGCCCTTCAGTCCCACTTGCAGTGGTGGGCAGACAAAGATTCTAAGACACATTCAACATGTACAAGCTAGTGTACCCACCCACATTCACTACAATTCCCTGTGGATGATGGGAACGGTTTCCTTTTACTGCAGAGAAGAGAAGATTCCTAGATTGTAAGCTCAAAAGAGCAGGCCCTCGAACCCCTCGTGTATTGTATTGTTTGTCTTGTCTCATGTTCTGTCCCCCTTGCTATTGTACAGCGCTGAGCAAACCCTTTGGCGCTATATAAATACTGTATAATAATAATAAGTAATCCCCGTTACATCTCCTCCTTGGCAGTGCAGATGCTTTTATCTTGAATTACAGAGATGAGGCAATGAAAATTCAATTCGGCTTTTCTCCTTACTGTTAAGGATTCTCAAAACTGTATTAACAGCTTAGTGTAGGGGGTGTATTAATGGGTGACTTTTCTTATGTTTCCCAGAGTTCTTCTATAAAAAATTAGAAAGCAGCATTATTTCAGGCTACAGATGTCACCATCGGGGGAAGGGCACTGCAAGTTGTTCCCAGCCAGTTAGTGGAAAGCATGCTGGGGGAACCCGGTGCTGCGAGACAAACTGCTCCCAATTTTTGAAAAGCAGACATGTTGCAGTCACACCCCAGTAAAGCACTGGGGTAAGTTCAGGGGCAAGGACTTGAGATGTATGGGGTTTATAGAAAATAAAAAAAAAGCACTAGAAATGAGCGATCACACGGACACTGATCACTCACTTCTCGGTCTGCTTAGAGCTGAGACCAGTGACTGTCAATCACTGCTCTACTCTTCCAGCCCTTACTAGTGCTAGAGTGCCAGGCTGAGGAGGTGGGTGCAGATGGTTTTGGTTCAGAGCCCCAGCCAGTTGTAAATCTATCAGCTGGGTGGATCACAACAATATCAAATGAATCCTTCCAGAGCCTGGAGCAGCTCTGCCACAACAGCTGACAGCAGGCAATATCCCACTATAAGATGTCACGAAGTCACAGGAGAGCAAAAGTGTGTGTGTACTCCAGTCACTGTATGTTCTACATGGCTCCTTTCTGTAGGAACATCCGTGGAGAAAGGCTTCCCGAAGGAAAAAATTGTTCTGTCCCACGGTGTTGACCCCTGCCACAGCAAAGCTAGTAGGAATGAGGAATAAAGGTGCACAGTGACGAATGAAAATGAGGGAGTTACTGGTGCCCAGCCAGAATAGTCTAGCAAAGTTTGTCTTCAGAGGTAGGGCAAGCAACAGAGACAATGCCCACCTCTGAATCTGGAAAGCACTCCACAGATAACATAACTAGAACTGAGTCATGGAAAGTGCCCCCATAAAGCCAACTGCCCCAGGGTCACTTCCTTCTAGACTCCTCAGTCATCACCACCACCAATGTAGATAAATCTTGTCTAAAGAAGGGGAATATAAAAAAAAAAAAAAAAAAAAAAAAAAAAAAAAAAAGTGTAACTAGAAATAATCAAAAAGGTTAGCCTTGAAACAGCACAGCTGAAGAAAAGATGTTCAACCTCATGGGGCGCTAGCAAAAAACTGAGGCATGCTGGTAGAAGGTATTATAACTGAAGTTCTTTTGTTTGCCACTGTTCAGTCCTCCTGTAGCTGACAGTCTAACCTAAGGCCCCATGTACACGGGACACTTCTGAACGATGGAAACTGACTGCTGGAAAATGCAGGTTAATAAAAAAACCGTCTGTTTAGCTGCATTTGCATACTGCGTTTTGTTTTTTTTTTTGTTTTTTTAAGATAACCTCAGGAGACATTCCAAAAAGTCCAGAATGCACTGAAAAACAGTAAAAAATAAATATTTCAGACATTTTGAGAGAAATAGAGAGAGCAGAAGCAGAGAGAGCAGTATTTGCTGAGATTAGCGGTCTTTTTTTTGTGGTGTTTGGATGTGTTCCAATTAATTTCTGTGCAGAAATTATTGCAGCAGTGTCTAACATTTTTTTTCATGCAAAACCTCAAATATGGTGTACCAGGTCCATATGAGCACCGGGAAAACACTTTGCATGCATTTTTCATGTTGAAAAAAAAAAAGCTCTGGACAGCATCTGGAAATGGAAGAGTTAAAACATTTTTTCAAACGCCTATAAACGCAGTTAGCGTTTGAAATGCTGATAAAGTCTACTGCTGAACGCAAGTTTTCTGCATTCAAAAAAACATCTGTAAACGACGATGTGTACATAGACACATAGGAAACCATTAGGGCGAGTACAGGGGCTGCTGAAAAAAAAGGGTGAACAGCCCCTAAAACATGAGATTATCAGCTGCAGTGTACTTAAACCCTAAAAGTGTAAGACTTCCTGTGTCCCTCTACGAATGATAACAAAAAAAAAAAAAAAAGTTTCTAATTAAGGGCAACATTGTCTGACCAAGAAAACTTTGATTCTGACTATGGTATCTTCCAATCAGATCTAGGTGCAGATTCCTTCCTGTACTCAGCTGCAGGTTAAAAAAAAAAAAAAAAAAAAAAAAAACACACCCCACAAAGAAATGTAGTGGTAGAAGTTATTAATTTAAAAGTACATACCTCCAACATCAATGAAGTGTTTGGCAGCCAAACCAGATCGTGGAGCTGAGTTGGTAGGGAAAAAAAACAAAAACACAAAACCTGCTTAAAATCGATTCTCACAGCATATACAGCTCACATTTAATTTACATGAAACAATGAGAAATAGGAACACACACTTTTGTTTTGTCAAATAAGGTACTTTTGAGGATTAAAGTGTAACTATCTAAAATGAAGAAAAAAAGTTGCCTTTAGAGTGGAAAGGGATTAGAACCCATCAGTTTGTATTGCTGTCTGTGCCCCCATTAGGGAGATTCACCCTCTCTCTTTGTCCTGTTCACCACTATCGCTGAAAATGAAAGAAAATCCCAAATTTTGGGTTGTCCCAGAAAAATAATAGGGGAAATCTTCCAATGGGGACACTAGTTCTGCTGACCTGGGGGCCCAAAGAAATTCCCTTAATTTGCAGGGATTTCCTTTCACTTCCTGTTTGGACATGGTACAGGAAGTGAATGGAAATCCCTGCGATAGGACACAGATGGCAGAGAAAAAAAAAAAAATGATAGCGGTTATTACCCCTGGGAAGAGAAAAAAAAAAAAAAAAAGTTGCCTATAGTTCTACTTTAACAGGGCAGAGCTTACACATACGTAGCCGGAAGAGGGGGTAGTTTTTAGTAGTTACTGTGTCACAATATGTAAATGAAAAATAGAAAAACAAAATTAACAGGAAATGAGCAGAATTGCTTCCTGAGACAGCCATCAAATGCAGTGGGTTTCAGATTTGAAGATATCTGCTTTACTCTTGTGCCAGTAGTAACTGTACAACTTTCAATCTCCTCCCCGCCGCCCTTCCTCTTCATTTGCAGCATAGCTTATACAGCCTAGATGATCGGGGAGGGGGTGTCCCACTGCTTTACTGCAGTGAGCCCTTTTTTCATGATCTACTTTACAGGAACATGCTTGGGACTACAACACACCTTTATATTTATTTAAATGTTCATAAAAAGCTTCATGTACCGTGACAATTCTCACATCTGTGGGTGCAAGCAGAAACTATGAACCATGCCGCTCTGGAAGAAACCGCATTTACCTATAGAGGATATTTTCAGGTTGCAGTTCTCTAAAGTCATGAAGGGGTTATAGTATGTGATAATTTTAGATGGAGTGCTCCGGAAACCTGTCTGCTCAATTGACTGTCATCACTCTGCAAAGATCTTCCACGTGCTCTCCTTATATAACCCACCTAAGCACTTCCTTTTCAGCTCTCAGTAGCAAAAGCATTTTAGTAATTAATGCAGTGCTCATCTGCTGTGTAGGGGTTAAAGGATGGATAATATAAAGACATTGTAGGGAGTTGCAGCACTGAAAATGACTTGTAACACCATCAAACTGCATAGAACTGGATTATTTCAGCTGGGAATGTCACTTTACATATTATCTGACTCACCAACTCGACCATAGCATCCTCTTGGTACACAGATCTGAATGTCAGTTTTGACAATAGCTTTGTCATGTGGAGCAATTGTATATTCATAAGCACTACAATATGGAGAAAACACAAATATGATTTATGTGAGAAACATGGACACCATATATTTTAATTGCTCAAGTTTTAAAGTGGCGTAAAATGACATGCATTGCATAAAACCCCTTCATGGCTGCGTTTACACAGAACGCGCACCACTGCACATGCATGGCATGAACAGACACAAAGAAAATAATTTATCTATGTGCCGTGGTGTAGAGCCTGTGCTGACCTATGCAGATCAGAGGACATGGTGTCAACAGGCCTTAAAGAATAAGTTCACCTTTTGGAACAAGTTACACCTGTTTTTATGGTGGACCATGTAACATGATCCCACTGCTGCAGCCCGATGTCCTCTCAAACTGTGACAGCCGTATGGGAGAGGTTCCCCATACTAGCTGTCACTTTTTGAAAACAGCGTGGTTGTGCGGAGCTCCACCCACACAGCCGCATCTTTAGTTCATTCACAGAACTCTGAACTAAAAATCCTGACAACCTTTGTGGCCGTGTGCTTGTAGTTTTCAATGAACTACCATGATGCTGTTGAGCGCAGTGGTAGTACATTGATTCTTCCTGTCACAGAGTATCTGCTTGGCCATATGAGCACAGATAGGTTTGCAGAAGTCCTGCATAGCACCAGTAAGCCAAGAAAAAAATGTGAACTTATCCCTTAAAGAGAAAGACAGTTTTTTTTTTTTTTTTACGGTATGTCTCCTTGGCTCTCAGGAGTACATTTGCTTTTGATCTCCTGTGACCAAGAGTCAGCTGGCCTATTGTCTGCTATCAGCTGATGGGGCAGGGCTGATACTGTCGGGATCCACCTGGCTGCCTGATTGACAGTTAACTCAGCCATTCAGCACGCAGTTGACAGCCAGAGCCAGCCACGCCCACTTCCCCCCAGCCTGTCACTGCAAGAGCAGAGCAGCGACAGTCACTGGTCTCTGCTCTAAGTGGACCAAGGGCTTAGCGATCAGGAGACTTGGGATTGCTCAGTTCTCAGTCTGAGGACCAGTTCACACAACAAAAATGCACTCTGGATATGTTTCTGCCTACAGTTCACGCCACAATCTGTTTAGGTGCATTTTTTAATGCGTTTTACTGTGTTCCAGTACAGCTGTGCAGAAAAAAAAAAAAGTAGCATGTTCTAATTTTTCTTCTGCACCAGGAACTGACTGTATTAATGTGAACTAGAATTAGGAGTGCATGAAAATGAATGAAAATTATGGTGCCTACACTGAAAATTCAGACGGAACCAAGATGCAGCAGCACTCAGTCTCCTCTACAGTACTGGCCAAAGGACATTTTTGGCACCTGTTATCGGTTCTTTTTTTTTTTTTTTTATATCGGCAAAATGCAGGTAGGGCTTATTTCGGTTTAAACAATTTAGCAACCGAAACTACAGTGCACCCCTAATTGGAATACATGGAAAACACTGCGCATGCATTTTTGATTCCGGAAAAAAAAAATGCACTGGACTGCATCTGGTGTGGTCCAGCCCTTAGAGTTGGTGTGGGATAACTACAATGTCACACAGATGCAGCAGTGTGGAGGAGAGTAGGTTTGTTTCTTGTGTACCCCAAACTTCTCCTTCAGGCCTCATGCACACTGAATGTTTAGCCCCTGTGCATGAGATCCTGGCTTCATGCACCATCTAGTCTCTTAAAGAGCTTGATTCTTCATTCAGTACAAGTGCTAGCACCCATTCTGCATGCAGGGGGTGTTTATTTTCTTATTTGCATCGAGCTGTGTGCAGGCAGCCTATAGCGGTAGATGCAGTGGCTGAAAGAACAGTCATATGTGAAAATCTGACCAGTGTGTCAGTGAAGCTGCACAGCCCCGAATGCACACTGTTTGCATTCCAGGCCATACAGCTAATCTTGCCGAGCTCTCAAATTTTGATATGTGGCTGTGTCCGTGTAGCCACTGTTGCTCTAAAATCTTTTATTAAAAATACTACAGTGTAAAAGTTTCAGTTACAGTCAGTTGTCATGTTTCATCCTACATGGCTTTAATGAATAAAGCTGTGTGGGCTGAAACGCATTAGCTGGCTGGAACTGAAACTTTACATAGTTAGTCTGCCTGAAAAAAGACAAGTCTTTTCCAAAGTTCAACCATAGAAAAAAAAAAAAGTTATAATCCTACACCCACAGTTGATCCAGAGGAGAAAAAAAACCCAGCAAAGCATGATCCAATTTGCTCCTGCTGGGAAAAAAATCCCTTCCTGATCCCCCGAGAGGCAAATCGGATATTCCCTGGATCAACTTTACCTATAAATGTTAGAATCCAGTTATATTCTGTGTATCTAGGAAAGAATCCAGGACTTTCCTACAGCAATCCACTGAGCTGGCCAGAACCAACTCTTGAGGGAGTCTATTCCACATTTTCACAGCTCTCACTGATATGAACCACCGATTTATACATGTTCATATCCCCCCTTAACCACTTGCCTACCGGGCACTTACCCCCTTCTTTACCAGGCCAATTTTTCAGCTTTCAGCTCTGTTGCACTTTGAATGACAATTGCACGGTCATACAACACTGTACCCATGACATTTTTATCATTTTTTCACACAAATAGAGCTTTCATTTGGTGGTATTTAATCACTGTTGGGAGTTTTATTTTTTGAACTACAAACAAAAGAAAAAAAATTCTTTGTTTCTGTTATAAAACAATTGAGCACTAATATGGCTACAATCACCTCAAGAAAATGGAAGTTGTTTCTGTTATAAAATTTTGCAAACAGGTAATTTTTCTCCTTCACTGATGTGCGTTGATGAGGCTGCACTGATAGGGTGGCACGGATATGCAATGATGGGCATTGATAGGCAGCAATGAAATATGGAACATAATCACCCCAATCGTGGCCATCAGACGCACGTTTTGTTGCTCGCCAAAACATGAAGGACAAAAACAAACAACAACCACCCCCCCCCCCCCAAAAAAAAAAAAAAGCATAGCTACTTTGGCACAGGAAGGCTGACCTATACAGGTGAACATTCTGTTCAATGCTGTAGGCAACAAATGCAAAATAAACCCCCCCCCGTGCTTAAGCATGACATGCGGGTGTGAATGAGCCCTCCAATCCATGCTGGTGTAGTAGCAAGATCAGCCCCCCCCGAACATCTGTCCCCTTTGCAGCAACTGCGCATGTGCCTGTTGCAGGCATAAGAAGGCGATCGCCGATCGCGCTCTGTAGCTTACAGCTGCCTGTTAACCCCTTTTAGGCTGGATTCCACTGATACCAACCGCTGAATCAGATCCCTCGGATCACTGGTGTAAATGGAATCCAGCATTAAAAGGGGTTAACAGGCAGCTGTAAGCTACAGAGCGTGATCGGCTTCTGATGCCTACAACACACACGCGCAGTTGCTGCAAAGGGGACAGATCCTCAGGGGGGGGCTGATCTTGCTACTACACCTGGTTCTGAATTGAATGGGCTGCCAGAACCACGTGTGCAGAATCATATATATGGTGTGTAGGAGGGGCTGATCCGGGCAATAAATAGATGGAGAGTCCTCCCCGGAGCTGGCAGCTCTCCTACAGATTGAACCCCTGAGAAGCCTCCATAGGAAGACACAGAGCCCTCTTACCTGTACAGGTCGTACCCCGCCGCCTGGGCGGACCCTCTGGTCGGGGTGCAGGCATTCTCCGACAGCTTGGCGAAGCGCAACACCGACCGGCTCCTCTCACTCACACATCACTTTCTTCTTCTTTAGGCCGTTTGGCGGGAGAGGACGGCACCGGAGTGAGCGGCATGGTGGAGAAGGAACACAGTCAGCTCTAAGGAACCCGCCAAAACGTCTCCACCAATAGCAGAGCAGTCACATGGTCTTACACCCCTCCCCACACAAAAGTACAGTGAGCTACAACAAAATGGCCGCTACAGCGGGGACGCTTCTTATAATACCACTACAGCTGACGGCTGCTCCGCCACCGCTATAAGTATACATTCCAAGCCCACAGCTGCTTTAATATCACACTGCTAGGCTGAAATCTAAGTCTTATCGGGCAGTCCCCCCTCAGGTACTGGAGAACTAGAAGTCCCAGCGAGCGTCTACTTACTCGTGGAGCTTGTCGTACATACCTCGCCTGGAAGTCGCCGGGGAGGTGTGAAGGAAGGGCAAACATGCCGACCTCCGGTACGTCTGACACAGCCGGACCCGGAGGGTGCACAGGACACTTACACCGCCTTGGCCTGCATGACCGGATCACATGACTAACACACGGAGCCGTTTTGACCAATCACAAGCGTTTTACACGGCCCGCTAGAGGAGGGAGGAGGCTGCAGGAGCATGCCTACAAGTGTCCCCCAGTCCCTGCGCCCCTCTCCTCAGTGTAGGTTGATGTAAGACCTCAATAAAATGGTGATAATTAAAGCTGGAACTTTGTGTTTTTGTAATATAGTTGTGTTATAGATGGAAGGTTAAATATACTTTTAGTTGTCAACCACTTGCCCTTCGGGCCACTTCCTGACCAGGCCACCTTTTGTGATACGGTGCTGTGTTACTTTGACAATTGTGCGGTCATGCAACGCTGCACCCAAATTAAATTTACATCCTTTTTTCTCCTACAAATTGAGTTTCCTTTAGCTGGCATTTGATCGCCTGTGCAATTTTTTTTGTGCTATAAACAAAAAAATAAACCTCAATTTTGAGAAAAAAAAGCAATATTTTTGATTTTTTGCTATTAAACATCAGTAAAAAAAAAGTAAAAAATAATTTCATCATAAATTTAGGCCAAAATGTATTCTGCTCCATGTCTTTGCTAAACAAAAATCACAATACATGTAAAGGAGTTGGTTTATGTGAAAGTTATAGCGTCTACAAATGGCGGCATATATACTGGATTTTTTTTTTTTTTTATATAGTAATGGCGGCGATCAGTGACTTATAGCGGGACTGACACTGGGAGAGAACTGACATCCAAATGACACTAATACAGTGATCAGTGCTAATAAAAAGCACTGGCACTGTACTAATGACACTGGGCAGGAAGAGGTTAACATGAGGGGCGATCAAAGGGTTAACTGTGTGCTGTTTTACTGTTGTCTGTGTGCTTTCCTGTGTCAGCACACTGCTTTGTATGGCTGTGCTATGCACAGCCATACAAAGCAGCATGCTGGAGCAGACAGGAGAGATCTGTATTGTTTACATACAGACCTCTCCCCTGTCAGGGATACTCGGCGATTGCCGGGTGCCGGTGGGGAATCACCAGCCAGGACCCGGGGTTCAACAGCTGAAACCGTCAAGGGCGGCGCAGGTAGGACGTGCACGCCCCCTACCCAGAAATGCAAAATCATGTATATCTACATGATTTTGTGCAGCCATGCTGCCCTGTAGCAGTAGTTCTGTTATAGGGTGGTGAGTAAATGGTTAAAGCTGAAGTTTATACTTTTGGGGATGCGACATCACACATTAGTTCTGTGTCATGGTTCTTATCCCATTAGGCCTTGTTCACACAGGGATCTGTATTCTACACCAGTGTGGGGCGTGAGGCCCACATTTGCTTGGGCAAGGCATCCCATTCATTTTAATGGGCTGCTGTGCCACATGTCCCGCACAAAAAAAGGTGCATGCAGTCGCAGGAAAACCTGGTCATTTTGCGCATGTGGTTTCCATGCAGTTCCCGCACTGGCGATTGCGCTGCAGGCTGAGATGCTCAGGGGTGACATCCAGAATGAATGGCAGCCCCGTGTGTCTTGCAAGAACAGAGTGATTCGACTGCAGGTGGTTGCTGGTGACGAAACAGGTGCAATTCTTGCACCCGCAACCAGCCTGCGGGCTTGTGTGAACCCAGCATCACAGGACTGGGATGTACAGGCGTTCCCTACAACCGCATGCAGTCAGTCCCATAGCGGTCAATTGGGATGCAGCAGTTGCACAGACACAGCCGCTGCTCCCAATATGATATCTATGTGGGTGCACAGCCCTGAGCACAACGGGTTGAGCCTTTCCCAGCCACAGCTTGGTGGAGGATCCTACAGGAACCCCTAGTAACCGCTGGAGATAGCCCAGAGTTCCACCAAGCTCTGGGGGAGAGAGGCTGGTCTAAATTCTTTGTGCTGGAAGATGTCCCTCCTGTCTCTATACTAGGTTCACATCTATGCAGATTGCGTTTGATGCATTTTCTGGGAGCATTTTGCGTTTTTTTCACACTTGTTTTTCATGCAATTTGTTTTGCATTGTTTATGCATTTCGTGATTTGCGCAACTTTCGCTGGTTAAGGAGTGGATGGCCACCGGCTTCCTTAACAACTAGCGTACAGTCACACAACACACAAAATGCATAAAAAAGTATATAAAAAACTCAATACTTGCGTTTTTGGTGCTGTTCCATTGAAGTCTATTACACGCAAAACACAAATTGGAAAAAAGTCCTTGAGCCTCAAAACGCACAGATGTGATCTAGATCCATAGGAAATTATGTTAAATGAACTAGGGTGTGTTTCTGCCAAATGGAAAACGCAGTGAAATCCACATAATTGTGAACCTAGGGTAAGTTCCGGTTCACACTGAGCTTGAAAGAGTAGGGCCCTCTTACCCCTCGTACGCTGTCTGTTTTTGTTGTACTGTGCCATGTATTGTCCCCCCCCCCCATTGTACAGCGCTGAGCAAACCCTTTGGCGCTATATAAACTCGATGTAATAATAATAATAATGCAGAGCGGGAAACACAGCGTTTCCTGTGCGTTTCCCACACCGCATAGCAAATGCAGCATTCTGTCATCTGCAGCCTTGGTCTCTGAAGAGCTATCCACATCTGATTTGCTCTTTAGAGAGCATTTGACAGATAGCGCAGAGGCTTTTTTTTTGCCTCCTCACCTCCTGCTTTAATCCCTTGATCCCCACAGTAGTGCATTGCATCCGGTTTTGAGATGTTTGCAGAGCAGCCCCATTCATTGTATGGGTCTTTTTTGTCCACTGAAAGCAACAGATGGTATAATGCCTGCCATGGTTGTGAAACAAAGCATCGTGGCCATGGCACGTGTACACCCCCACCCAGCTACTGCCTCTGCAGCTAAATGGTGTAGTGATTGGGGGTGGTAAAAAGTGCAGCTCAGCCTGGGGGATTTACTGCCCCCTACCCCTGCTAGTGTGAAGGAGCCCTAAGAGCAGATGATCTCTGTTTTTTCACACAGGACTTGCTAAAGTGAACTAAGTAGAATTTTTCAGTGATGGAGTTATTACGAAAGAGCATGTAAAACATAGACAGAATTTTTATTTTTTCTTTAGTTATGCTACATCAATGTGGCTGCAAAAATGGTGATACACTTCAAAGCTTATTTCCACTTTTGCAGTCAAAGTTTCAAACAGCACGCCTAAAATTTTTTTTTTAAATGTCTCAGGAGGAGGTGTCATGGCTAATAGCAAGGTTTGTTCAAGCAATGTTAGAGTGAGCCTGTCCCAGGTCTGTCCTCATTAATATACAATGTAACAAGCCCGGCTTCTGCATCTTTAACCCTTTTGTTAAGCCAGCCAGAGATAGATATAAACTCGGCCGGTTCAGCGGGGACCAGCTCTGATTTGATCCATCCCTGGGCAATCCATTGGTCAACTTCAGTATAACCAGCCTGTCGGATTTTTTGCATGAGATTTCTACTGGCAGCTATAGTCACTAGCAGGAATCTGTGCGTTCTGCCGGCAGAACACAATACCACTGCAGGAGGGATTCCCCTATCAACACTGACTGTGTTAATGGGGGAATCGAGCGATTTTCTTTCCTGCAGAAAATCACATCATCTATGGCTTACCTTAGGACAGGCATGGAGGAATTCAGAAAGGGTGTTATAGACAGATGTCATGAGAACAAGTGCCCCCATTGGAGGATTTCCCATCTATTCCTGTTCTGGTGGCAACTAAACGTTCATATAAATTCACAGAAACTTTGGTGTTTAGAACAATTAGAAAGATTGAAACACTCTAAGAGGAGCACAGACACAGGGGCGGACTGACCATTTGGAAACTCGGGCACTGCCCGAGGGCCGGGGGTTAGTAGGGGGCCCCATGAGATACCCTGGTACCTTTTTCATAGGCTTTTTTGAGTTTGGGCAAGGACACGGGCCCCATGATCCCCTATTGCCCGGGAGCCCCATGAGTTGTCAGTCCGCCCCTGCACAGACAGCAATAAAAATCTGATGGGATCTAACCCCTCACCACTTTATCCAAAAAAAGTTTGACCTTTAGTCATACTTTAAATAAAAGTCTTACCTATTTAGCCCTAATAAAATATTTCTTCTCCCTGCTCACAATAGATTTTTTTTTTTACTCATTTAAAAATATGTTCATACGTCATTTGTTGTACAATTTTGTTCAATTTCTTTGTTTTTGTATTTGTATTACTGTATATTTTGTATAGTAAATCGTAAATGATTAATTACTTTTTTGTAATTCATTTTGCATGTTTGTTTAATTATTTACTATACCAAATATAATACAAATACAAAAAAACCAAATTAATAAGTACAGGTGAAACTCGAAAAATTAGAATATCGTGCAAAAGTTCATTTATTTCAGTAATGCAACTTAAAAGGTGAAACTAATATATGAGATAGACTCATTACATGCAAAGCAAGATAGTTCAAGCCATGATTTGTCATAATTGTGATGATTATGGCTTACAGCTCATGAAAACCCCAAATTCACAATCTCAGAAAATTAGAATATTACATGCAATCAATAAAACAAGGATTGTACATAGAACAATATCGGACCTCTGAAAAGTATAAGCATGCATATGTACTCAGTACTTGGTTTGGGCCCCTTTTGCAACAATTACTGCCTCAATGCGGCGTGGCATGGAAGCTATCAGCCTGGTGGCACTGCTGAGGTGTTATGGAAGACCAGGATGCTTCAATAGCAGCCTTCAGCTCTTCTGCATTGTTCGGTCTCATGTCTCTCATCTTTCTCTTGGCAATGCCCCATAGATTTTCTATGGGGTTCAGGTCAGGCGAGTTTGCTGGCCAATCAAGCACAGTAATCCCACGGTCATTGAACCAGGTTTTGGTGCTTTTGGCAGTGTGGGCAGGTGCCAAGTCCTGCTGGAAAATGAAGTCAGCATCCCCATAAAGCTCATCTGCAGAAGGAAGCATGAGGTGCTCCAAAATCTGGTAAACGGCTGCGTTGACCCTGGACCTAATGAAGCACAGTGGACCAACACCAGCAGATGACATGGCTCCCCAAATCAACACAGACTGTGGAAACTTC